TCTCCAGTCCATGACCAGCAGCTTGTGCTGGTCACATTCTTCTCCTGCAATCACTTTGCATCCTTCACGTTTTTCCTCTCTTCTTCATTCACCAGTATATAATCCACCACCGTCCTACTGTCACCAGATTCATACGTCACAAGCTTGCTTTCTTCCTTTATAAACCACGTATTCACTACCACCATCCCACAACTCTGCTAACTCCAATATCGTCTCGCCTTCAGCATTCATATCACCAACTCCAAAACCTCCATGCGACAGTATCCTTTTCACGCTTCCCACATGACCGTTCCAATCACCAAGCATCACACATCGCCCTCTAATGTCTGCTTCACTGCATACACGCTGTCGTAGAACTTTTCCTTCTCCTCCGCACTTCGTCCAACCTGCGGAGCATACCACAACGAAACTCACAACTTCGGCCTCACAACTACATCAACTCTCAGGACTCTGTCCGAAACTCTCTTCACTGCTACAACTGACTTCGCCCAATCCTCTCTTATCGCAAAGCCAACACCATTCGTGACACTTCCGTTTCCCTTCCAAAACCACTTAAATCTCGCTCCATTATCTTCACCCTTTATGACTCTCGTACCTTCACCTTTAAACCTTACCTCCTGAAACCCACACACATCAACTTTCCTTCTCTTCAACATGTCCGCCACTTCTGCACTCCTTCCCTTCATTATCCCAACGTTCACTGTGCCTACCCGAAGGGTGACACTTCCACAACCATTCGATCCGAGATTCTTCGACCCCTGCCCACTGAAGGGCTGCCGGGGACTGGGGGCCATATCTTCTTTTCCAAAGTCCATGAATTTTGTTGGAGCAAAAGTTTTACGGTAGGATGCCCTTCCTTACACCAACCCCTTTTAGTCGTCTTTTACGACACGCAGAGGTATTAGGTATCCTCTGAGGAGTCTACATATAAGTTAAATGTGTAGATATAAAATTACAGTATATCCATAAGTGTACCAGTCATGTTACTATATATTTATTATGTATCCTCTGAGGAGTCTACATATAAGTTAAACATATAGATATAAAATTACAGTATATCCATAAGTGTACCAGTCATGTTACTACATATTTATTAGGTATCCTCTGAGGAGTCTACATATAAGTTAAACATATAGATATAAAATTACAGTATATCCATAAGTGTACCTGTCATGTTACTACATATTTATTATGTATCCTCCGAGGTGTTCATGGTTGAGGTACATCAGTTTGTGTACCATAATATCTTATGCAAGTCGCATAATTACCATAAATTTATAATGTATCCTTTGGAGTTCAAAGTTTACATACATGTAACACACTATCACAATTCTTTTGTTCACTTTCTTCACTGAAGTTGCACCTTAAAAATTACCCTCCCTCCCCTCCCTCAACTAAGATTATTACAAACCTGATTTCTTCATTCTTGCCAGTTGTTTCTGTTGGCAAATTGTTTCTGCAATTTACGATGGAGTCTGTTGTCACGAGTCTTCAGCAAATTCTGCATCCCAGCTTGTTGACGTTGCATTTGACGCTCTTTATCACGTCGATTATTTCTCTAAAAAATAAAAAATTTTTGTTAATGTTGTTCATATGAAAAGGAGTCATTTAGATGAAGATATTTACAAATATAATAAAGAAGTGATTTTATTTTGAGACTTAAAAGTATAGAAAACTTTTCTATTGTACCTGATTGAATTTGTTCCTATTGCGCATGTAAACAGGCTTTTGTGGTCGACTTGTGTCAACAAGATGGAAAGTTGATTCATCTTCTTCATGATAATATGCATATTGATTACCACCACCAAACTGATTTAAGTATTTATCTATAGAAGTAAAACAATATGATTAAACTGCAAGAAAATAGTGAAGTCTAGACAGAATACAAACTTTGGCATCAACGATCTTGATAGGCTGTACTTTACCAATCAGAAACCTACATAAAATGAAAATGTATGTTATAAGACCTATATTTATACAGTCAATACAAGAAATAATATTTTATCCTCTTAAAAGTGTAGAGTGGTTTTTTAATGATGACTACATAACAATGTTTAACAATAATAGCTAGTAAAATATGATTATAAATTTCACCACGTGACACAGAAATATAAGAACAACTAAAGGTCAGAGTGGAAGACATTGATAGCAAGGAATTTCTTATGAAATATAAAATATTTTACCCTTCCAAGTTTATCTCCTTTAGAGAATGGTTGATAAGGTATTCCATTAAATGCATCTGAAATAGAGGTAGGACGCCAGCCGTTTGGGTTATCTTCAATGACAGGAGGAACAAAATGAATTCGTTCAAACGCCATATTGAATATTGACTAGTTTGCATGTTTCCATCAGTCAAACGTAGAACGTCATCATTGTTTGTGACCGACGACCATACCGACGACCCGATGACAATTAATACCAATTTTTCGAAAATCATTTTCGGCATTGTTTTACTGAGAAAGCAAACGATTGCCTCAAAGCTGCTTAAATATTGTAGTTTCTAACGATAAAATGAAAAAAAGTTTGACCAAATATTGCAGTGGAAACTGTGAACATGTACGGAATGGCACTGGTATCATGTTAAGACTCTTCAAGATGCTCTTTCCAACATTCAGATTTTTGGTTGTGACTGAGAAGCAATCCACGAAGGTGTCTTCAAGTTGCATAATGTAATTTAAATAGCACGATGAAGGAGCAGTCAGCCCACCAAAGTTGAGTTCTTTATATGCCTTGAAATAGCAAAGCAAATTACCATCATTGTTTATGTTATTTGAAGTCAAAACGTTCTTACATTGGAGACAGCTGTGGATTTTGAAAGCTTTGCTTAGCAATTATCCTGAAACATAGGCAGCAGCATTTTTGAGCAATAAATTGTTGCCAATATTTTGTTCTCGGTAGTCATTTTCAGCAATCAACAGTGAGCTACTTGTAGCTTTTACATGGGTAAGTGGCATACTAAATGGGTTGGGCTTTTTTTTATAATTGTGTTAGCTGAATGTCCATATCTTTAGAACAGTTTTCTTTCGAAGAGGTCAAAAGTGAACTGAAAAAAACCTTTCAAAAAGCCCTGATAAATTGTATTGGCGTGGGATTGTCAAAATTACCTCCTTGCTGGCGTATTGTTCCAAAAAAATTCTCTAGAGCATCTGTGTTTAATCTTGAACGTCAAATTTTTCACACGGCCACGGCACAGCATTTCTCATACAGGTCTCGATAGAATTGTACACATTGGTTGTACATGAAAAAGCATAAAAATATGTTGATTGTATGTTCTCTTTTCAGCAAGATACTGAGGGTAGGTCTTGATTGCCTTTATTAATCACAGCTTTGATTTGGTCGTCTCAGGATAAATATTTCAAATTTTCAAGTAAAACGCCAAGATTTTTGAGTTGTAAGTTTATCTTGCTACCATCGTGGCGGAAGTAGCGCATGCGCATTAAAATTTAGGACCGCATTTTTTGCTAAGTGGCCCTTCTGTCACGTTATCTATTCTGTGTCTTTGTATTACATAACAAATACCCAACGACGCAACGTATCAACTCAAACGACGCAGACATTTGACGCTTAACTCTTCAGAATGCTGAATTTATCTGAAAGATTGAATGTTCAAAGTTCCAACCGTCGACCTGCAAAAGGTTTGTAAGATAAAAGATAAAGAATTATCATGTGTGTTTACGATGTATAAATGGGACCTTAAATACAAAATGTTTGTCATATTTAATTAATATATTTTTACTAAATATTAGTCACACCTTAGTACTATGAAATATACACCATAGATACCCGTAGCAATTTGTAATCCTGTAATTGTGTACCAATCAAACGAAGTTGCAAATACAAACAATTTACTTACGAAAAATAATTACTGCGATCGAAAGGAAGGCCTGTTTATCGTTAGTTGTTTGTTTGCCAAGGAATTCAAATTGCTTGCTAGCATACAATTATATTCATCTTTGGGTCCGGACGGTATATTTATAAAATATGTGTTATTTCATTATACTTGTGAACGGTGGCGTAGCTAGCGAAAAACATTTGGTCGGGCTCACGAGGCGCCACCACGGTTGGCGCCGAGCGAGAAAACTTTCCGAATTTAGACTCCCTAGAACGTCGGAAAAGGCTATCTTAGAAAGCAAACGCGTGATATTTATGCAGGAAATAGAACCATTTTGGTTAATTTAAATTACCGAAGGATCATATAGTAAAGCAGAGAAACAGTTCAAAAATAAGTTGTAGAAAATCATCGACAAATTCGGATGACACGAATGCGCGTAATATGATCTTATATAATTAGGTTGAGAATTTCAAGTCATTGCTAAACAAAGGTTTGTAAATAGAAAACTACACAGTAGATTTTTTTGAACTTGGCCATATTGTAGATATTCTTATTGTCTATAATATATCCAAAATCTGGAGGTGGCACAAAAAAATAAGTTGTAGAAAATCATCGACAAAGTCGGAAGACACGAGTGCGCGTAATATGATCTTTTATAATTACGTTTAGAATTTCAAGTCATTGCTAAAGCCTGGCGCACACTAGCGCCATCGGCTGAGCTGAGAGTTACTCATGACTGTTGGCGCACGCCATTTCCTCAAGTGTGCGGTCAAGTTTTGAGCAATACTCGCCTCGCGCGCCATCGGCGCCGATTATTCAACATGTTGAATAAAATGGTGCACGAGTGAACGTTGGCTCCAGTGTGCGCGCGTGCTGAGCTATTTTCTCAATACGTGAAGAAAATGCGCATGCGTTCTTTCCTCAATCATTTCAACATGGACTCTGGTAGTGTCGTTGTAGCAGAAGCTTTGTTGGAAGATCATTTGGCTGACATTTGGCCAGATTTTCCCTGTCTTTATGACGTGCGATGTCCTGAGTTTAAAAATCGGGATTTACGTGAAAATGCGTTCGAAGAAATGGCTGAAAAACTCGGAAAAACAGGTAACGTACAGGCGAAAAGTGGGTCTGTGTGTGTCAATAACCTGTTGTGCCAAATGTTGTATGTGACAACTTATCATTCATCATGCATCCATTATTTTTTTTCTATCTAGTTGATTGGGTAAAGTCAAAAATCCGATCATTGCGAAATAGTTTCGTAAAGGCGAAAAAACCTCCACCCAGTGGCAGTGCTAGAAAAAATCCATCTCGTCGAACCACTTGGATATTAGAGAAGTTACAATTTCTAGCACCTCATGTTGCAACACGGACTTCAATTTCGAATATTGACTCTGTAAGTTTCGTTCAAAGTTATTACTCAATTTATTTATATGACATAAAGTGATGAAATTATTTAGTCAAACTCATTACAGTATATTTAATTATAAGCAAACTATAAAATTATTTTCTACCCAATCATATTGTCTTGCCATGGTACAGACCCTTGATTATTGAAATAGTCAGTCAACACTTCTCTTTGGCCTTTTGCATTTCTTGGAGCATTACGATTGCTGCCTGGCTGTAAGCCATTCAGTGATGTACCAGTTCTCCACATTCCTCGGATTACAGTAGGATCTTCATTTTCAACATCTGCAACACCACTGTAATTTCCAATGTTCTTGCCAATCATGAAATTGTGCAGACAGCAGGCTGCAAAAATTATGTCAGTGACTTTGTCTGGGGATAATTTAATGGTTGTTAAAAATATGCGCCATCTATGTGCTAAAATTCCGAAAGCGTTTTCAACAACTCGGCGTGCCCGGACAATCTATAATTAAAACTCGTTTTGCTTGACTAAATTGCGATGAGGATATGGCTTCATCATGTATGATGTCAAAGGAAAGGCATCATCTCCCACAACATGGTATGCTACTTTTGTTGATGTTCCTCTTAATATGCTTGGTTCAGGGATGTCTAAAGTGTTTGCTGTAAGTGCTTGTCTTAATGCGGAATCAGCAAAAACTCCAGCATCTCCAGCTCTTCCAGCAGCACCAACATCAACATAGACAAATCTGTAATTCGCATCGACCATAGCCAGCAAGATAACACTGAAAAAGTGCTTATAATTAAAAAATTCAGAACCAGTGTCTGCTGGCTGTTGAATTGCGATGCTTCCCATCAATAGCTCCCAAACAACAGGGATAATTCCATCTGCTCTCAAATTCCCTTGCAATTTGAAGCCAGTCTTTGGTAGTTCTTGGGATCTAAAAAATGTTGATTTTTATTTTAAAAATTTCAGGAATCCGTTGGCACTCCTCAAGACACAAGTTTCACCCAAGAGGATGATGATGATTACAATGATTTAAATAATGAAAATGAAAATGAAATGGAACATCATGGAGTGGATGGTGCAGTAGCAAGGTCTACGAGTCAGCCTATACAAAGGCCAACTACTTCAAGGAAGAGACAGGCTGAAGAAGAATTTAATTTGATTAAAACTTTATCAAATTCAATAGCTGAGAAAAGAAAACGCAGAAAAGAAAATAATGGTGGCAACATGTTGGATGCTTTTGGAGTCTATGTGGCAAAGGCACTTTCGGAATTAGATCCTAGAACTTGTCATCTTGCACAAAATAAAATAAATGGAATAATTTTTCAAGCACAGGCTGGTCTATTGGCACAAACTCAAGAAATACCACCACAAATGCTTCGTGAACAATCACAAAGAAATTATTTTCATCCAAACATAAGCATTGGTATGCCGTCAAATTCAACACCACCACTGTACGATGAAAACAATGCATCGTACAGAGATGATCATATGCATATGTCAGGTGCCTGGCGAAACTGATATGTTCACATTTGCACACTTTTGTAGTTATGGCTTGTTTTGCATGTGTTTGGGTAAAATAAATGATGTAAAAAAGTATGTTTTATAAGTGAATAGATTAAATAACCTTCAAATAGTTCTCCTTCATTACTGCATACAAGGCATTACATGTTTCCTCCACAATACCAGATATTGTTCTTTCACCTATCCGATATTGAAAAGAAAGACTTCTGAATGTTTCCCCTAAACAAAATACAGACCATCATTTAATATATATGGTTTCTAATACCTTTACTTTTGAAAGACCCACTGCTATTTTTAATGTCTTTTCTTACCTGTAGCCAAAAAGCGTAATGTTACCGACAATCTCTCCCTTGGCTGAAGCGATTTTCGTAGTTTTGTGTCGTTTTTCTGAATTAGTGGAGACACCATATTCAATATTTCCTCGAATGAAATCCTATCTAAACGATGATACTGTCGGAATTTCTCTGGGTCCTCACAATTCAACTCATGCACTATTGTAGCCGATGCTCCTAGTGTTTCACGGCGTGAAATCCATGATTTGGTCCATGTCTTTCTGCAAGACGCTCTCGAACGTCTTCGTCTTCGGCGCATTAACATAAGCAGCAGCAAAATTTCTTCCTAGTCCGATGAACTCGAGTCCCTGGCATCCGCCATATTGCAATGGATGAATGTAAGAAAGTTGCTGAACGCATGCGCATTTTCTTCACGTATTGAGATAATAGCTCAGCACGCGCGCACACCTGACACTTGGAGCCAACGTTCACTCGTGCACCATTTTATTCAACATGTTGAATATTCGGCGCCGATGGCGCGCGAGGCGAATATTGCTCAAAACTTGACCGCACACTTGAGGAAATGGCGTGCGCCAACAGTCACGAGTAACTCTCAGCTAAGCCGATGGCGCTAGTGTGCGCCAGGCTTAAACAAAGGCCTGTAAATAAAAAACTACACGGTAGAATTTTTTTAAACTTGGCCATATTGTACATATTCGTATTGTCTATAACATATCCAACATCTGGAGATTGCACAAAAAAAAAGAATAATATTCCTTGAGAATGTACTCTGGTATTAACTGTGAAGCTGGCACCACATTCGACAAACCGCTCTATAGCTAAAAAACTACACGGTAGAATTTTTTTAAACTTGCCATATTGTAGATACTCTTATTGTCTATAACATATCCAAAATCTGGAGGTGGCACAAAAAAATAAGTTGTAGAAAATCATCTACAAAGTCGGATGACACGAATGCGCGTAATATAATCTTATATAATTAACTTCCTATATCCATGTAATTTTTCAAACAAAGGCCTATAAATAAAAAACTACATGGTAGAATTTTTTAAGCTTGGCCATATTGTAGATATTCTTATTGTCTATAACATATCCAAAATCTGGAGGTGGCACAAAAAAATAAGTTGTAGAAAATCATCGACAAAGTCGGAAGTCACGAATGCGCGTAATATGATCTAATATAATTAGGTTGAGAATTTCAAGTCATTGATAAACAAAGGCCTGTAAATAAAAAACTACACGGTAGAATTTTTTTAAATATATCCAAAATCTAGAGAGTGAACAAAAAATTATTAATACAATTCACTTTTTACTAAATTGTTTAAAAGTAGTAAACTCTGTTTGGTTGTTAGTACCAAATTAATTATGCAGTGACGTAACTGTGCTGGTTATTTTTCTTGAAAATTTGTTCTAGTTGCTCATCGCTTTAATTTTTTCAAAATTTAGTGAATCTAGTGAAGTAAAGGACTTGTTTTTCGAGAAGTCGTGACCAGATATTACTTTAATCCAGGACCTTTACGTCACGGTATAATTAGACATGTGCATTATTTATATTGTATTTTTACTGACTTACTAGATAATTACTTTACTTTATTATCTTATAATTAGAAATCGGCTATTATTTACCACAGTATTTTTCTTTCTATCGCATTTTTTTACGTCGTTGACACGATCAGAATATCGATTAACAATTTCAATTTTTCTGAAAATGTTCCTCTTGCATTCTGAACTGATTTTCTATCATTTATATTTTTGTGCCACCTCCAGGTTTTGAATATGTTCTAGAGAATAAGAATATCTACAATATGGCCAAGTTTAAAATAATTCTACCGTGTAGTTTTTTATTTACAGGCCTTTGTTTAGCAATGACTTGAAATTTTCAACCTAATTATATAAGATCATATTACGCGCATTCGTGTCATCCGAATTTGTCGATGATTTCTACAAATTATTTTTTTGTGCCACATCCAGATTTTGGATATGTTATAGACAATAAGAATATCTACAATATGGCCAAGTTTAAAAAAATTCTACCGTGTAGTTTTTTATTTACAGGCCTTTGTTTAGCAATGAGGCTGAAAACCGTAGGTCTTCCAGGTTTTGTAAGCACCAATGTTCGATTTTGCCTTCTTATGCTTCTTACAATCGGATAGGAAATTCTTCATGTTTTTGAATCTCGTCTGCGTTCATGAAGATGACGATCCAGGGCAAAACAAAAGACAAGGCCAACAGAGCAATGCATTCTTTTCTAAGCTACCACAAAGCCAATCTTTCTTCGAGTACCATCTTTCCTGAAAGCTTCTATAGCCTGTAGTCGCTTGTAAATTTGGAAATGGCCGCTGCTTTACGAGTATATTTTGCTCGCCTGATTGTCGAACAGAAAATGGTTTCTTTTGTAGTTCACTTTTTATATCGATTTCATTAGCCGCTTCGGCTAATGTAATGTAAATTATCACGATTTCCGAACGTATATTTCGAAAGCTCAAATTTCAAGTCACGCTTTTGAAAATGAGCCCGACTAGACGTTGTTATACGTTTAAGTGTGTTCGCAGCTACTCTCAACCAATCAGATTACAGATATTCCCACTATAGATTTTACTACTTGGTCGGGCTGAATTTTCAGAGCCCGACTAAACTGCGTAATGCCTGGCACTAGAAATGCACTAGTCATTGTTGCTAAGTAACGTTTAAAAATATGATAATTTTGCTAATAACGACGCAATTTGACAAATATTACACTAATAGACTGTGGATTATTCCAAAAAGAGTCGCAGAATTTAAAATTTTCGCAAATCCAATTTTAAAGAAAACAAATTTTTCATTTTTGGGAAAATATTTGGTCGGACTGGGCCCGACCAGCAAGACCGTTAGCTACGCCACTTCTTGTGATAGTATGAAGTGACATTTATGAATCAGGAGGAGAATTAAGTTTGAAATTGCAAATGGACTCTTTCATGCCATAGCGTTACAATTATCTTTCGTCGAGCTGTTAACGCTAAGGTGATACATACAAATTCATAGCATTAAAGAAAAATACTGAAAATCTTTGATTTATGATTTGTAAAAACAGAGCTTTTGGACCACATGGTGGTGTACAGCAGAAATTTTAATATAATTATGCCACGTTTGAGGCTTTCCTAGTTAAAATTAGACTTATTAACTAATTATGAAACAGAGACTTTGTCGTGGTGACAAACTTAAAGATCAGGGGCGGATCTAGAGTATGTCAAATCCGTCGCGCGACTGATGTTTGAAATTCAAAATTATCTATTCATATTAATTAAAATTCATTAATTATTCTTACTTTATTAAAAGTAAAATTACTTTATTAAAATTAATTTATTACATTTATTATTCTTACTTTATTTTCTTACTTTTATTATCGTATTTATTATCGAAAACGTCGCAAAATGATGCTTTTTTATACATAGCCAATGCTGTTCGCAGCAGCACACAATCACAAGAAACTATCTTTAATTTCTCCCTTATTGAAACTGTTACAATCTGCTATCTCATAGTTTTCTTTTCAGTCGGTGCGTACCATAGAGATGTGTTATAAATTACGAACATTCTGATATTTTGCGAACTAAAAGGTCTTTGTAAAAGCTCATAGAAATTATATCTGAAAACTTTTATCGTATTTGTAGATACACGTTCTAAAAAAGTCACGACCAATAGGCAATATTCAACATTCGAGTTTACGTTAATGATCCCCTCAAAACGCGTTAGTTTATCAACATAGATTAAAAATTCTCATTTCATATTAAAATTTAATCAAAATTGTAGTTCATCGTTTTAAAATTGATAAAGAATTTTACCATTGCCAATCATCTGTCGTACATAGACAAAGAAACACAAGAACTTGTGTTGCAACATGTTGTAAAACATATATATTTATAAAATCAAGTTTCAATTAATGCGTTAGAGTCAGTGAAATTAAATAAACATAAACATTAGTAAATTTAAAATAGATCATTAGCTACAACATTATAACATGTTCTTAGATACAGAGGCATGACTTTCATAAATGACTATGCAAATTATTGAAATATATTCTTATGTCTGTTTTGTAACGTAATTTTTAAGGTAAAATATCAGGTTTTTTTAATTTTTCAAAGGTTGTTTGACGGGATACTGCAGTTAAAAGCTGTAGCATACATGCTCTCTGTCATTATTAGTTTTTAGGTTCTTTTGTAATTTTAAGACGATTTTTGGTGAAGTTAAATCAATTAAAAATAAGTTTGATTTCGTCATCATGTAATTTCGGACTTCAGTGGAACCTAATAAGGGTTGTATGATATTTTTTTATTTGCTTGATTTTTATGTTGTTGATATATACCAAATTTTTGTACAGATGGAATCGTCAGGAATAAGAAATCTGTCTTACATTCAGCAAATAATTAACGTGGTGCAAAAGGAACTTGCTCAGTTTTCATTAAACAATGGAACTCTCGTTACAAATCAACTTATGGAGAATGGGATGATACACACATCAGTGGTAACAAATTTTACAATTTAGAATCAAGAAGAAAGTTAGACCAAAAACTCGACAAAATATCAAAATGGAGATACCAGTAAGTGGGACTGCACGATATTATTTGATGCAATAATTTTTTCAAATTCAATTGGAAAGCACCTTGACAAAAACAAAGGATGCTGTTCATGCACTTCGTTGTGAAAGAAACAAGTACGCACATTGGTATGAAAGGAATGCTCAGATGATGATTTTGATGATATAGTCAACATCATTGAAAAATCATTTCAAGATTTGAAATTTTCTCTCGATGAAATCAATAAAATAAAAATCATCGTGACAGTTTTGACTTATTTCAAGTTCTTCCTTCAAAACCTAATCATTTTTTTGTTGAACGCACTGAATTACGAGATAAAATTATAAAAGATCTTGAAAAATTAAGGAATGATAACAATGATAAACTGACATATTTTTACATCACTGGTAATCCTGGCAGTGGTAAATCACAACTTGCAAGACAGGTTTGTGAAAAATATCGTGTGATTGGAAAAATAGAACTTCGTTTGTAATGACTCTCGATGGAAAAATGAGGAATCTCTTTTAAAACTTACTGTGAACTTGGATACCGTTTAAACTGTGACAAGGATATGATTAAAAATTTGAAGATGAAAATTGTTCCATCGCAGACAAAGTGAAGAATTTGCGATCGTTAGTATCCACACGATTAAAATTCTGGCAAAATTGGTTGATCATTGTAGACAACGTGGCACAGCTTAGCAAAATTTCTTCATTACTCCCCCAAGTTGGTGATCCCATGTGGATAAATGGACAAATCATAGTAACTATCCAGAACACAGATGCCGTACCTCAAGATGATGAGTTTAACAAACATATTTCTATCAAAGTGGAATGAATGATAAAGAATGTTGTCAACTGTTGGAATATTACACTAAAGATGATAATACTGATGATCAATTGTTGAATGAAGTATCGCACGCATTAGATCGTCAACCGCTGGCTTTGGCTGCCGCTGGTTGTTATGTCAGTCGTGTAAACAAAGCAAACTGCTCATTTACTTGGAAAGAATATTTAAAGAAAATATTTTCAGAAGAACAAGAAAACATGGACGCCACTTTTGTTAAATTTAACTCGGTATATCCTAGAAGTATGTTACAAGCTTCACTTTTAGCTGTCAGACAAAATGCTGAAGAATCCTCAATATTGGCAAATGTTATTAACTTTTTTTCCGTGATATCGTTTGATCCTATACCACGAGACATTATTGTTTTTATGTTCAAAAATTGATCCCAAACACTCAAAGGAAGATATATGTCTTTGTTTAAAGGACTGCTCATTGTTCTTGCATTCAGAAAATAATGACATTAGTCTACATCGCATTGTTCACAAAGCAATTATTGTTTATCAATCTGAACATTCAAATGAAGAACATGAAATGGAAACTAACGTTGATCAAATATCTAAAGCACTTTACATGTTTAAAGAGAGAGACGACGAAATCAAATTAATGCCACATCTTGAAAAAATTGTTCAATTATTAAAGACCAACAAGACAAAAATCAACATGAACACTTTACAAGTTTTCCAATATTTTGTTGACAGATTAAGACATTTTGGAAAATACGATCTTGCTCTTGAACTATTGGATAAATTTAAATCAGAAGAATCTAGTTATGACAAAGCTTGGTATTTTAATATCCTTGGTCTTTTATACCATGACACTGGGAAGTATAGCAAAGCTAAAAATCATCACGAAAAAGCTCTGGAAATTCGAAAACAATCGTTAGGTCCAAATCATGTTGATGTCGCTACGTCTTTAAACAATCTTGGTAATGTGTATTATGAAACTGGAAACTACGACAAAGCTATAGAGTTTCTTGAAAAGCTCTGGAAATTAAAAACAATCGTTAGGTCCAAATCATGTTGATGTCGCTGGGTCTTTAAACAATCTTGGTGTGGTGTTTGAGAAACTGGAAACTACGACAAAGCTATAGAGCTTTATGAAAAGCTCTGGAAATTCGAAAACAATCGTTAGGTCCAAATCATGTTGATGTCGCTAAGTCTTTAAACAATCTTGGTATTGTGTTTGAAAAACTGGAAACTACGACAAAGCTATAGAGTTTCATGAAAAGCTCTGGAAATTCAAAACAATCGTTAGGTCCAAATCATGTTGATGTCGCTATCTTTAAACAATCTTGGTAATGTGTTTGAAAACTGGAAACTACGACAAAGCTATAGAGTTTATGAAAAGCTCTGGAAATTCAAAACAATCGTTAGGTCCAAATCATGTTGATGTCGCTAGGTCTTTAAACAATCTTGGTAATGTGTATTATAAAACTGGAAACTACGACAAAGCTATAGAGTTTCATGAAAAAGCTCTGGAAATTAAAAAACAATCGTTAGGTCCAAATCATGTTGATGTTGCTATGTCTTTAAACAATCTTGGTGTGGTGTTTGAAAAAACTGGAAACTACGACAAAGCTATAGAGTTTCATGAAAAAGCTCTGGAAATTAAAAAACAATCGTTAGGTCCAAATCATGTTGATGTCGCTAGGTCTTTAAACAATCTTGGTAAAACTACGACAAAGCTATAGAGTTTCACGAAAAAGCTCTGGAAATTCGCAAAAACGTTAGGAACTAGTCAGGTTGATGTCGCTAAGTCTTTAAAACAATCTAGGTGTGTTGTATTATGAAACTGGAATATGACAAAGCTTTACAGTTACACTTTGGTAGCTACGTGTTTCAAAGAAAATTGTGCCTTCTAAATTATGTTAAGCCTATTTTTAACACATAGACCGTAGGAGCAAGGCTTCCACCTGCCAAGTCAGCTCCCCTCTCCCTCAGAAGGTATTTTTGGTAGTGAATAAAACGTTTGCAATTTGCATTTTGTGAGGTAAAATGAACCTAAAGATGTAATGATCCTTGTCTATATATTGTTTCACTGATATCTAGTCAATAAACTTACTCTACAAGGAATCATCCTAAGTAGAACTTAGAACTGCCCATGCCCTGAATCTGACATTCTTCTTTAGACTTTATTTCTAAAGTAATTTGCTTTTATGTTATAACCAAGTAGTAATTTTATTGTATGATTTACAAACATACTAAAGTATATTGGGATGACAGAATTTTGTTAAATAAATACTATCCTGTTAGTTGTTCATATTCTTTGATACATTCAGTAATTTTTTACCAAGCTCCATAAGCCTATGACCATATTCCAGGTTCCTATAATTTCCAAGGGGGTACACCTTTCATACCATACATACCACCCCACCATGCTGCAGCCAATATTCCTGTGCTGTCACTATCTCCACCATGAAACATAGAACAAGAACACAATTGAAACCAGGAATCTTTTGCCATCATCAAAGCATCGTAAGCAATCATTGGTGCATCATGACCACTGGACCCACCCCAACCTGCATAACTGACAGATTTATAAAAGCATCACGTTCAGGTATGTTATATGTCACTGGAAACTTTGGTTCACTGGTTCCATTCATTAATCCCGTAGTTCAAGATATGACTCCCAACTATTTTAAAGTAGCCCCAAGATTTCTTGTTTTCTTCTACATCACGACCAACCTTCTCAATGTATTCCCAAACTTTGGGTAAAACACTTAAAAGTCCTGCTCCCATTTTTGGCCATCTTCTGTATAGCATAGGCTGTAAATAAAGCTGCAGTAACAGCCCCTAGATAACCTATAATTAAAATCATTGTCTTTAAAGATTGCTAATTTTAGGTCACTTACATTATGATGACCCTATTTACATAATAACAGCATTTTGATATGGATCATGGATTCAATGGCTGTAGTAGTGACGATATTAAAGCAAAACAGCAATGGCAATTCAAACAGTTTTTAGAAGACTGAAATTTGGAAATGTGATAAAAGGGATGGATCAAAGATATGGTCATTTAAAGTGAGCAATGTTAGAAGGTTGGAGGCATTTGAGATGTTGTTCTATAAAATGACGGATTGCATAGACTTATGCAAACCTAAGGTCTACCTTCTTTTATTTCATTTTTAAATTGATATTAGATAAAAGGGTATGAAACATTCATGGTAATGGCTTGATCAAGTAAGTAATCGAAAGAAGAGTTGAAGGTAAAACATGTAAGAAAATCAAAAGGATTGCAAAGCTAAATTACTATAAATGTTTGTTAAAATGAAAAGCAATGCAGATAACAGGAAAACCTAGCAAACTTTATACAAAGCAACACTTGTTGATAGACAGAACACTAGACATTAGTGACTTGATAATTGATACATGATCTGAAATCGTTGCTTTATTATGAAAGGTGAATACCTGTGGGGTGATTATGAGTCATCCTTCCACTTTCAACAGCAATTTCAATTAACATTTCAATTTGATCTTCACAAGGAAACATCAAACCTATACACATGGATCTCATAGCTGCACCACATCCGCCACCCTAAATGGTATAATGTAACCTTTTTCCTCAAGAGGTCGTAACATGAAACATGCCTTTGTTGTGGTCTGCCCAGGAGCTCTTTCCCACATATCCTCAGCACATGTCTTCTTGTACTTTGTAGCCATAATGCTCCATAACTCTTCCGTTGTTGCCGATTCAGAAACCAACGCTTCTGCTGTAGCAATGTGTAGTACAGTGTCGTCACTATCCCTCCATCCTTTAATGTCAATTTTATCAAGTCCTCCGAGTTTTCTAGTTCTTCATGAATTTGAGTACCACTGTAACAGAATTCCCACAAACCATTCTTATAACCTAGAGCATCCCCACTCCACTGAGAACCATAACTGCTTCGTATTTCTCGGATAATTGACCGTATTTTCAAGAGCCATTTTTAATATGTTTACTTCACCGTAGTTTAATGAATTTTTTTGAAACACGGGGAAAGTACTAAGCTTCCCTCAACTTAGTCAACTAATAAAAACGTAAAATCTTTTCTTTGCTTTGTTTCAATATTGTTTCATACTATTGTTTAGATTTAGACGAGAGCGTTGGGAGACTGGGACTGTTATTTTGTAATCCTTAATCTTTACCCGATTCCATGATCTTCAATCTGATTAACATGTTGCTTCTTGCAAAGATTCTTTAAAATTTAAAAGTTCCTTCCTTATATCATGGATTATCCGACACGGATTTAATCCAAACTTGACAATTTGATTGCACATATACTAAAAAACAGTGTATTGGGAATCGAACCCAAAGACTAAATTTTCCGCTCTTTGAAGATACCCCACAGTTGGGCTGTTTTTTTTCTTGGAAAGTTTAGATGATTTTGGCTATTGAACATATTTTGAATATTTTATAGTTCCAAAATTTGATCTTTGTAGAATTTTTGAAGCTGAAATTTGGTAAGTTATTGCTTGATCGTAATAGACAAAAACAGGTCAAGAGCTTTGTCGTTCAATTACACTTCACAATTTAAAGTCACAAACAATAAACAATTATCAGCTTTTTTATAATGCCGGTTTAGCATTAAAATGCTTAAATATCCAACTTTACGCCCCAAATACATGCAAGTTTAACTTTCACATTTACAATAAGTGTTAAGTAAATAAATATAAAAAATGATTAAACTGAAATCACCCAAACTGTTCTAAAATGCAGAATTGCTTAAACATGACGCTGTTTTTTTAACGAAAGTGAAGATGGCTGTAAATTTTAGCTGATAGACCCTAGGTTCGCTCAGCTAAGCATCCATAGCCTTCAAATTGCATTTCTTTTTGTTCCATGGTTGTATATGACAAGTAGTACAAGTTTAGTCCCACACCAAGGTCACTGTTTTTTTTTTTGATGACTTAACCGAAATAAAAAATCCTAATGGAAAAACCTGAACGGTATAAACCAAAACCGAACACAACGGCACGAGAATTTGGAGAATACTGAAGAGGAAAAAACCATTAGGGTTTCGGCCGAAATTCCGCGCCCCGGGGGACCCTTAGAAACAAAAATCTTTACTTACCTTTGCAACGATGCAAATACCAAAAAAAAGAAAAAACCGTCAATTTCTCAAAAGACACCTTCAAGTCCAAAAAAATCTTTTAAGTATTTTAGTTATGGATATAATTCGCCATTTTTGACGTACATACAACTTACGTACAAACCGCCACATTTTAGTTTTACCGCACGTAAACCGATCAGCGAACTCGACAGTATTCTACTTTGGACGAGAAAATTGTGTAATTTGATGGGAATTTCTTTTAACGTGTGTTTTTCTTATCTAATCCACATCCGAATCAGTCGCACCTAGCGCCACCTTAGCAGTCCCTATTTTGCACTGTTTCATTCAGTGCTTTGCGCCGGTGCCACTAACGCTTAAAGTTGGAGCAAGCGCTTGCTGCATGACATGGATTAGATAAATGTACTTCAAAATATTTTAAGCAGACAGACGAAATTTAATATTTTTTGAAACAATTTAGAACACTTGAAGAAGCACACGTTGAGTTTGGTTACCGAGGGACCGTGGATGGTTTAACCAAACAACCGGCAGCGCTTGATTTAAGTTATGTTTTAGTTTGACAATTATCACAGATGACTACATAGCAACGCGAATGGTGAACATGGAAACCATCGTGTAACTATTTTGTATCATATGTGACAACGTCTGCGGTTTGTCTTCATGGTAACCATCAAAGAAAACAAACAATGTGCTTTTATTAAAACTATGTTTCGTGTTAGTTTGGTTAATATGAAGCCATTCCGCATACTTAGACCTGGTGTACTAAACATTTTTTATGCCTGTTTTGCTGTGGCTTGCCGCATCGAAATTCCAGGAATGAAGTTTTCTTAATAAGAAAACAACATATCCATTTTTACATTTACAGTAATTGCCACGCCGCTCCTAAACTGTAAATGTCTTGACAAACTGAAGACTATTTGAGTTTCAATTTGTCGATTTGAAAATGACTGACAAGATTAAAGTTTCCTTCGAAAGATTTTGAAAAATTTAGTCATTTCTCTTGATAGTGGAGTTCATCCTTTAAATTTATAAAGGTTCTAACCCCATACTCATTATCTAAGCGTAGCAACTACTCGCTGCAACTACAGCGCATGCCTAAGCTATCTAAACTTCCTACCTGCGCATGGCACCGGAATTCCGCCCTGAAAGGAATGCCCTTGAAGGAGGTAACCCATCATGCCCTTAACTTAACCTAGTGCATGTTGCACCTACGGGCGACCTCCAACCGGGGTGGGTTGAACTACTCATGCATTATAGGGGATCCATGCAGGAGTGCCTTAATAGTCAATGTAGAAAGCCGTTCATGAAATTGGCCAACTACAACGACTGCATGCTCTTACCGTACTAGGGAGAGATATTTTCTTTCCACCAAAACCACGATCTTCCCTTGGTCTTCAATAGGCCTTGCTCGCTTGATCCAGTCTTCAAAGGTCTTCTTACAGATGCTATTTGCATCCTCTACGCTAAGGTACCATTTGTACCCACTAACCCCAAGTTGAAGTTGCCTTCCTTGGGCCAAACTTCACTTGCATTTCCGATTCTAAGCTATGGTCCTGCCTATCCTTCTGCGAGGCAACAACCGCTGCGATCATGCGTAGCTCCTTAAAGCAGTATATTCACACAGAGGTTTTTCGAAGGTAAATTATATAGAACAACACAATTGTTGCATGCCAGTCACAGACTTGAAATAGTTGATACAAATTCACGCTTACTAAGACACAAATTTTAAAAAGAATTAAAGCAGCACCGATAAACACTATTGGATTATTTTAACCAAAAGAACACTTTTATTACCTCTTAATCAAGACTGTTTTAGAAAATGCAGATGTAAATTTCTTTAAATATATTTATTTGCATTCCTGCATTAAAAAAATAGCCTTACAGTGGAATATACTGAACACCAGGATTTGTTGTGGCTATTGCCCTAATTATATTACAGATTTGACCTGTTAACAGGCCTAACTAAATAAAAGGTTTATTATTATTACACTTACGGTTTTCGACGAATCCTTGGAAGTTCGACGACAGACTACGATGAATGACAAATCTCATGCCAATTGTGAAGATGAAACGATCGGATGTTGAGCAAGGACAGCCACAAAAGCCCAAAATAATTTTTGAAAAATTCAGAACGTTGATGGTGAAACCATCGTATCCAATTTCAGGCTACCTGACAAACATCACCGCTTTTATGTCGACGACGGCAAGCACAGAAACAAGATTGGCCATTTCTTGCAACTGTGCATGTCGTCTACGGCATTAAATCGGAAATATCGACAGCCAGTCGGAAAATTAGGATTTTAGGTTTTTATTTTCATGTTAAAGAAATTCCATGTTTTATTACAAAATTTTCAATTAAATAATGTTGAAATTTGGGCATTTGATAGCGGCGTGGTTTTATCCATCATTGCGATTGATTGACCAGTCGTGATGTTAGCAGGAAAACTCCCAGGAAAATGTTTTAGAAAAGGTCATAATATTGACTTTTCCATGGAAACAGGCGTTAGGCTGATGGATGCATTGCTCCAGAATAGTGTTTAGGTTTGCATTCTTTGTAGAGATGGTCTTTAGGGCATTAGAAGTCACGTATTTTCAATTTCATCAAAGTATATTGTTCATTCTTGATCATTGTTCAGAAGAGTTCATTAAAGTATATTGTTCATTCTTGATCATTCTTCAGAGGTCTATCATTCTTGATCATTGAGGTCATCATTAAAGTATCATTGTTCAGATCACTTCATTAAAGTATATGTTCATTCTTGATCATTGTTCAGAGATTCATCAAAGTATATTGTTCATTCTTGATCATTGTTCAGAGGTTCATTAAAGTAAATTGTTCATTCTTGATCATTGTTCAGAGGACTTCATTGAAGTATATTGTTCATTCTTGATCATTGTTCAGAGGACTTCATTAAAGTAAATTGTTCATTCTTGATCATTGTTCAGAGGACTTCATTAAAGTAAATTGTTCATTCTTGATCATTGTTCAGAGGACTTCATTAAAGTAAATTGTTCATTCTTGATCATTGTTCAGAGGTCTTCATTAAAGTAAATTGTCCATTCTTCATCATTGTTCAGAGGACTTCATTAAAGTAAATTGTTCATTCTTGATCATTGTTCAGAGGACTTCATTAAAGTAAATTGTCCATTCTTCATCATTGTTCAGAGGACTTCATTAAAGTAAATTGTTCATTCTTGATCATTGTTCAGAGGACTTCATTAAAGTATATTGTTCATTCTTGACCAGAAGGTTTCTACATAGGACAATTGAAGCCAATGTCAGTTCACACTACTATACTTCCATAAATGAAAAACATTGATAACGTACTTACATTGAACATTTTATTCACTAGTAATGTCGTTCAAGGGAAGAATTTCAACCAAATTTATGGGAAGGCCACACTGCACTTTACATTAATGAACATCACATGCAGTGTCCCAATTCAATGTTTACTCAATGCAAAAGAACTTGAAACAAGACATTTACCTGAACATTGTTTCAAAGCACTCCAAGAGATATTTCACCGTGGAATAATTTCGACTTCGGCTAACTATTCTTCGTGAAACTACAGACTTTCACGTTCAAATGGCACGTTCTTAGTCTTAGACTATGGCCCAAGTTTCACGAACGTGTTGCATTCTGACTGGTCAGTGACTAGGTGTGTTGTAAACGTGTTGTGTTGTTATTGGTCATTTACTAGGTGTGTCGTCAATTGTACATTGTGAAATTTACAATTTGCATGATTCATCACTTAGAATTAATTAATCCCCATAGAGCGGTAAATGCAATTTAATACAATATAAATAAAAACGTATACTTCAGGTACAGCAAATAGCAAATCCCAAACATTTAAGTCTCCTTAGGGAACAACTACAGCTGAATCATGCAAATTCTAAAGGTCCACTGATGTCAAAAATGATTTGATAAACCCTCTAGATTGTTATCTTCATCTCATTTTCTTATTGTATTTATTAGCATTAACATTTGATCTCTTTTAATTAGCATTCTACATAAAAACGACGTTTGGCAATTAAACTACTGTAAAATTTCGAAACCCAATCACTGTGCTAACCTCACTAGTGAATTACACTTTTAATGGAGGAAAATCTTTTGTGCTTGCATGCACCTGTGGGCTTGGCGTAGTGACAGACATTGAAATTATACAAAGGTCTTCAATGCTAAATGAAGGCTGACCAACTAGTTTTGCACACATCAAAGGAATGAATCGGATAGAAAAATATTATTACAATGTAATTTTTTTTATTTTATTATATAACTATCAGCCGGTATTATATGTTGTCCCTTTTAAGGAATATTCAATCTCCATGCGACAATAACTTTTCATGGCAACTTTTGTTCTGAATCTTTCCACATTCCCTTTTTTGAGTGATAAAAATGAAAAAATTGAAGCGCCTTCAAGCATTCAATTTCCAGGCCGGCTGCCAAAATTTTATCTACTAGTTCCCAGTCTTCGCCACCCTAGGCATGTCTAAATCGTTCCATGTCCATGCCACCAATTCTAAAAGGAGATAATACTCTAGAGTAATGATATAAGTCTCTTTTTAACCCAGAAGATTAATAGATTTTAAATGGAAAAAAATATTTTCCATATTTGATCTTTTAACTTCATTGTTTTGAGTATCAATGTAGTCTTTTTGCAAAGCAACAAAATTACACATCATACAATAAAAATTTCCCTGTAAAATAGGGTGAGGTTTTCCCTTCTGGTGGCTTAAATGCCAAGATTTTATTTTATTTGATTATTGATACCTTACATTATACATACAAAGTACATACCTATCCCCGTATGACTTGTACAGTGCTATAGGTCCTTACCCATCGTGCTCCCAGCGCCTATTGGGGTGGTTCACAGTATAACAACAGTCCAGACGAGTCAGGAGTGCATTAAATGTGGTTGTTTCCCTGAATACAATGCTAAAAAACAACACATACCAAACATTAAATGAAAGATATTTCAGTATTTTATCATTAAATTACATTCTCTGTCATTGTTTAACTATATTTTAGTTAAAGTAACGACAGTTTTTGTTCTGTTTATTAGTCTTATTATTCATGATAACATACCAATACCAAACAAAATCAACCTTGTACTATCTAATGTTTATTCAACTGTTAATAATCTAGGTTTTGACACTAGTCAAAAACTCTTTAAGCTTTATGTGAACTGTAACTGTTCTTCCTTTCTCCACTTAAAAAATAAACCATGTTTACTGTGTTTGCAAATGAAGGAGACCTTTGAAGAACTTGCACCTGGTCGACATTTGGCCTCAGCTTTGAACTGATCTGTTCTCAAGTTCTCGTAAAGGTTTCCATAAGCCTGTGCAAATACAGTAAGTCAGTAAACACTCTTTAATTCTTCAATATGATATATATTGCAGCATGCATAGTAGGTGAGCATTTCTACTTGCTAAGAATTCCATAAGCTACAATCAAAATTATAACTTTGGTACTTTAATTTTTAATTCATTATTATTTTACCTAACGTTCGTTTAATATAACTAATCTCACCTTACGTATATGATCAACAATAATGACAGGCATGGACAAGTGTAAATCACGCACAAATACAATATCATTTGGATTTGTCACCACAGTTATAGCATACTGTAAACCAATTGATTTATGAAATTTAGACTTCATGTGGAGCAATACATATTGGCGTATTCGACTCTTTTCCAAAGCATGTTTGATATCGATATCTTTAGTGTGAAAATGGATAATGATAACATTTAGGAATTCATCTTTCGTTTCTTGATATATCTCTTCAAGAATATTAATAAAATGTTGCACCCATTGTCCCTGCCTACCGCCGACTGTCAACACAATATTTACAGTAGCATTTATGTTCCATTTATAGCCCACTGGTGAACAAATGCCACTTATCTAAATTTTGTCTACTTGTCTACTTTTTGTCTACATTTTTGTGTCTAACATAGTGAAGCATCACTAAGAAACAAATTAACTAGAACACGAAGGATGCTATTTGAAAATTACAAGCAAATATATGTTATTATTATTTAGAGCAGTTTAATGTATGTTTTTCTTGAGGTCAACACGTTAACTAAAAATACTATAAAATGACATTTATAAAACAAATTTCGTGAAAAACTAAATATTATTAATATTACTATGTAGAAATTGATATTTATATTATTATTACAGAATGCATCGAGTCTCACAGTCTCAATCAAAGACATCACGCAAAAGATTCTCTAAGATTTGGCTTCTTTAACTATCTCTCCTTTATTCACTCATCCGTCTTTAATTAATCAACGTTATTGTTACGGCAAAACAACAGCAACACCACCTTTTCTTGGATCATATTTTGCAAATAGGTATCCCGATTTAGTTCTATAAATTCCTTGAACGACAGAGAATCATCGTGATCCTTTCATTTTGTGTCCCAGATCCTAAAAGAAAACAGACTCTGGAATATTGTCATGAATATAATTTTCTCATTGTAAACTGTATTAGGAAACAGTTGATGATGCAAGCGACCTCTTTCGATGGACTCCTCAAGACTCAAACCAAACCAAAGCTTATTTAACAAAAGTTAAAAAAGTATCGTTTCCATGAACTTTCGAATGATTTGATTCATAAATAACACAAACCCAGAAATGACAAATGTAATAATATCCATAATGATATGTACTGCTTATCGCTTGTAAAATTAACTATTATTGTCAAAGGGAGTTGAGTGGGATGGGGGTAATCTGGGGGTAGAAATATCGTGAATTTGTAGTAATGGATACTTTTTCATATTGCTCGACCAAAGAGTTTCCAGTTACAGCGGGCTAACCACGTGACACGTTCAGTGAAAGATAAAAAAAAGAGCACAAGATACAAACATTTAAAACAGAATCATCGTTACTTACTACAGCCACACCAGTTATTATTCTCAATCCCCCCGAACCACCAAGAACCATTTTCAAGTCACCTTTTGAATCAACAACTATAGTTGGACAAGCTGTTGATACAGAGCGTTTCCCAGACTGAATAAACTTGGCTTTTGACGCTTTTGGTTGATAACTTTTTGATGTATTTGGTAACGAAAATGAACTCATATGATTGTTGTAGACTATCCCTGTTGTATAGGATCGAATCTTTGCACCAAAACTGAATAAAAAAGTTATTGTATGTGGTTATAAATAGCACATTGAAAATGAGCGACCTGCAAAGCAAACTGCTAGATGTATGCAGGGTTTTGACGTAGTTATGTTTCCATTTGAAATATTTTTGTATGCTCCAGTGTAGTGTTAACTGTGTAAAATACTACCATGATCCTTAAGCTCAAACAACAAATGCAGTTGTGTAAAAGAGTGGTAATTGACCGTCCATCACCGTAGCCAATACAACGAGATAAAGTTGTAGCTTTCAAATTGAACTATGAAAATGCTTACCAATAACCAACTGTGTAGTGACAGACATAGCATTTCCAGTTGACAAAATTACTGATACATGTGTAGTCCCAGAGTCTTTTCTGGTGGAGTAGAACTCTTCATAGTAAAAACTATCGTGTGTTTCATTGTTCCATATCTTTTTACGCAAATCTTCAGCATATGTTGTATTTATTTGAGCATCCTGGGACTGGAAAATAAAAAGCACCAATTTAAAAAATTAATATTATTATAATGAAACATCATCCGAATGAAAAGTTCATGTTTAATTCAATATTTGAGAAAAAAAACTTAAGACAAGAAAAACAAGACAATTTTTTATTTTAACAGCAATATTTCGAATATATTACAAATTCATCATCAGAGTCTACATAGAATTGACTTGTTTTTTCTCCCATATTCAGTTAAACATGAACTTTTTATTCGGAGTATGTTTTATATTATACTAAGAAAGTAAACATGTTTATACTTTATATGATATAAGGAGTTTTACTTTATCGACTGTTACTTTCATGATTTTGGGGTTTATAAAACTGGGTTTTTCTCTTTGTTCGTTTATCACTACCTATACAAAATAATGTTTTCTATTGTCTTAAACGTACTTTTCAACATTAGGATAAAATTCTGGATCACCAATGAACGGACGACAAGCATACCCGAACTTAAACGCCTCAAAATTCGATGCCATGTTAGTGTCTGCTTGTTACCTGTTATGGAGTCGGGACCAAACTTGAAACCTAAAATAACAAAGAAGTCGTCAGTGAAATGTGCATTCAGAACTAACATATGATTGATAAACGCACATTAAATTTACAAATATAAGTTGTTATGACACCAGTTTCAACTAATATTTACTTTGACAATAGTCTAATGTTATTCGGTTCTATTCGTGAACAATGACAACCAAACCTTTTAAAATGTTAAGTATCATTAAGGAGCTGCTCTAATTGATAGCGATTTATCTCTCTCATATACATTTTCATTGTCTTTCCAGCAAGCCGAATATTTTCCAAATTGAAAGGTGCTGTTCATGAGGTTATTTCTTGTGCCTTGAGCAGATGTGAAGGATCAAACATTAGAAATATTTTTCTTCCATTGTGAACAAACCATGGCTTCTCGTTGGTGACATTCAATTTTTGTGACATACTGTAGAAGTTGAACCCCATATCTGATATTACCAAACAAATGTTCAACCCAATCAAATCAAGCTTGCGAATGACTTCTTTGATCAAATCTTGCAAAACATCAACTAGACAAGATTCATTAACAAGTACATACCCAAAAGGTTGCTTCCAACCTCCAGATATGCTTCGCAGCACGAATACAAGACCTGATGTTGCCAATTTGTTTGTTCGATATCCACCAAAGTCATCTACTCCAACAATCTTATCTTCTGTGATGTTGTTGTAAAGGTGTGTTTTTAATGATATCTCAACACAAAGAGTGCACAGCTTTTCCATATCATTCATGTAACACACTTCTTCTTTCAACAGATTTAAGGTTGCCTGAGGAATACCAGCTGCTATTGGAATTCGTGAAACAAACCGTCTAATTGAAGACTTTGTTGGCAGAATAAACAGCTTGGCGAGGAGGCTATACGCTTTGCCACTAGCATGATACAATGAAACTGCTAAGGACTTCATTTCTGGTGAGTACCTTCTTCCATGTTTTTTTGTTGAATGTAACTTCAGTTGCAATTCTATAAAATTAGACAGTTATATTAGCCATAATATCTTGGAATCTTGTCTATGGTTTGCAAAGAACATTTGCTAGGGACAACTCTAGAACCAACACTTATTAGCACATCAATTCCTTCTTCTGACCCAAGCAGTGACTGCACTTCCTCATTGCAACTGCATTGCAACAACTACAATGTTATAAAGAAATAAAACAGTATGAGTTGTATGTGGATGCACAGCATACTTTTATATCAAGTGGCAATACAGCTGTTACAATCATTATGAGTTGTATGTAGATGTACAGCATACTTTTATATCAGGTGGCAATACAGCTGTTACAATCATTATGAGTTGTATGTAGATGTACAGCATACTTTTATTTCAGGTGGCAATACAGCTGTTACAATCAGTGCATGTTGCCCATTATAAATTATTGTGATAAATATCAGTTCTATCAATTTTAAAGTACCTTCTCTGAAAAATTTTTGATTTCTGATGCTGGTAAATCATCTAAAGTTAGTTTGAGCTGTTCACACAGACCTGAAACCACATAGTCATAAACCCAAGGTTTTAAAATGCATGGTGACGGACCACCTTGCAAAATGGAGGCAGCCATAAGATTTCCAGCATACAAAAATTCATTCTCTGTCATTGCTGATGTTGAGATAATGGGAACACCAGTAATGAACAGTCATTCATTGTCTAATTTCTTTAAGAGCTTCTGCAAACATAAAGGATCTTTTAAATGCTCTACATACAAATATGTGACAATGACTATTTAAAGGCAATGGACTTTTGTACTTTTTAAAAACAAAAAATGGATGAGTCAAACCTGTTAAAAATTCTTTCCTTGGTCTTCCAGTACCTTGAGCAGGCTCACCAATAAAAACTACTTTAAGTTTATTTTCATTGATAATCCAGCTACAACATTTTCTTGTCTCAATGTAATCAGCAAATAGCTGGCCTCTCCTTACATTTATTCTAGATTGTGCTTTGGGATTTTTCACTAACGGTTCAAGAATATCTGAAATTGACTTCACACCAGTATCCAAACTCACATATTCAGTGACATCTCCACTTGTGTGTCCTTCTGCAATATCAACTGAAAGTTCAAATTTTCTTTCTTGATAAAATGCCCGTCAGTTAGCATTTTCTTCACATATGTCTGCATGTAATACAATGTCTTTATCTACAAAATTTCCATGACAAGTGGGACACTGTACATAAATATTTTTATTTCTAGGATTTGTAGGGCAATGCCCAAATGGCAAGGCTGTTTGGGAAGATTCGTTTCTTTTAGAAGTCAAAGAAAAATCAGACTTTGATGTTGACAAGCCATCTCGATTTAGTTAAAAGGACATAGTAGGTTCATCGGATATCTCATCAGGTAAGGAATGAAAATCATAAAATTCATCATCATCAGAAGACACTACTGAAAGATCTACGACTTGTTTCTTATTTCCTTCAGTTTCATACTTATTTTTAGTAGTTTTTAAGTTGACTTTGCTACCAGAACAAAAATTGATCATGATCAGAGTGTTTTTTATGTCAGCGCCAGTACTTTCTCCCTATCAAAATCTTTGCAAACTTTTACAGGTAATTTGGAGCCTCTTTCACTGTTAGAGTACCATCGTTTACGGTGATTATGTCTACCTGTATTACAACACGATTATCCACAGGCTTTTTTGAAGGTGGACATTGGCTAGTTGATTTCCTTTTCGATGACGAGCTCGAGATCTTCGTGTTAAATCCTACTCTACATTCTCCTTTTATAGACATTTAATGGTCTAATGTCTTCGCCTGAATACATACCGACAATTTTGCTTCTACTTTAGATCCGCATTTGAAACAAAACCTGTCCGTAAAACTTAGTTCATTTCCACAAGTTCCTTTTTCCGCCATTTTGTTACGGGAATGACATGTCTTAAAAGTTTTGTGATCATACTTCATGTTGGACAACATTTAGGTGTCTAAATTCTGATCAAAAAATATTTACGGATTTGAAAAATCTTTTCGGATTTTCAAAGTATTTTCCCATTTAGAAATATATTTTTACATTTTCGATATATAATTACAGACTGGAAATATTTTTTTGGATTTGAAAAATATTTTGCGATTAAAAATATATTTTCACAGTGGCCCTTCTCGGCTTCCGTACAAATTACCAAGGAAACGGTAATAAAATTCAAACATGAAAATAGAAACAATAAAAATCACAAGGCCGTATCTTTGTTTTACATAACAATAAAGGCCCAAAATTATTTGCCACGTATCTACTCAAACGACGCTGATATTTGAAACTTAACTTATCAGAACGTTAAATCTATCTAAATGTTCAACTGTTCAAAGCTTCATGCCATTAACCAGTGAAAGGTTTGTAAAACAAAAGATAAAGAATTTTCATACGCGATGACGACGTATAAATGTGACCATGGAAGCTTATAATTCTGTAATTGTAGATTAATCAAAGTCAAACAAAGTTACAATTCCAAACAACAACAATTTTCTTACCAACAACAAATCATTGCAATCTTAAACAAGGTATGTTTACGTTGATGTGTTTGTTTATATAGAAGTTAAAATGATTGTTATAGTAACTATTAGTCGTTGGCCCACAACGTCTGTTTGTAAAATATGTGTTACTTCATTTTTCACCTAATGGCTTGTGTCATTATTGAAGGAAATTTACAACTCAATTTTTACTTTGAAATCGCAAATGGATAAATGCATGTCATCATTGAATATTTTAGACATTTAAGTCGTTTTAGAAGTAGAAATATTGATCAGGAAGTGTGTTATCTTTGTGATAAACTAGTTTGTAAGAATTTGCAAATCTTTTTGACGTTACAATTGTCTTTCGTCAAGCTTTGGTTGCGAAGGTTCATGTATGCAAATTCATCGCATTATAGTTACAATAAATTTAAAAGCAGATATGAGTATTGCAACTTATTAATTCATTTTAACACTCCCACTTTAAGATCATATCTTAAATTAAACGAGAACAAGTTGCGAAATCAGACATTGTAAATTTTCATACGTTGAGTATGTATCTGAGGTTTATCACCATGTACTTACTTCCAAAATATCTTAAAAACGGTATAATTTTGTAAAATGTATACTTATTTCTATTGATCAATTTGATCCAAATTATATTCAAACTTATGAACAAAAACAATAAAAATTATAAAACCATATCTTTGCTTTACATAACAAACTATTCGTAAGATGTTTTAATTTCCGTAGCGCAAAATAATTTTCCACATATCGACTCGAAGGAAGAATATATGATGCTTAAGTTGTCAGAACTTTAAATCTTTCTAAAAGTTCAACTGTTCAAGGCTACACGCCGTTAACTAGTTAAAAGGTTTGCGAGACAAAAACAAACAATTTTCATGCTTGATTACGACGTATAAATGTGACCCATGGAAGCTTGTAATTCTGTAATTGTAGATAAATCAAACGAAGTTGCAATTCCAAACAAGAACAATATGCTTACCAAAAACAAATCACTGCCATCTTAAACAAGGTAAGGCTTATTTTAAAGTATATTTAATTATTTATGAGTCACCACGAAGTACATTTACTTTAAAATAGCAAATGGACTCATGCATGTCATCATTGAATAGTATAGATATTTATTGTCGATTTCAGTTAACTTTTCAAACGGCGGTTGCCAAGTTACTTTCTAATGTTGCCAGTACATTTCCAAAGATGGAATATTCGATATGAACTTGTCAACTTGAGTTAACAAGTTGTGTACTTGAGTACTGAAGTTGTGAACTAAAGTTGCGAAGTACTGGCAAACGCGAAAGTTCTTTGTACCCTGTAGACATTTGGCAACGAATCCGTTCAGTAAGCAAGGAAAAGCTTTACCAATAGAAGTAAGAAATGAAATACTTGAAATGTGATTAAATAACGAGCGTTTGACAAACATTTCGAAACAATTAAATCTACCGTATAAGAATATATCAAACATATTAGATCTATGGGTAGACATTGGTTCTATTGCACCTCGCCAGAGCGTGCATGTCATCATTGAATAGTATAGATATTTAAATCGTTTTCGAAGTAGCAATATTGATCAGCAAGTGTGTTTATTTTTGTCATAAACTATAGTGTCGCTTATTAAATTTTGTAAGTCAACATTTTAAATGGGGCTAAAGAATTTTCCTTATCTTTGTGACGTTACAATTATCTTTCGTCGATGCTTAGCTGTTGACGCTAATGTTGATATGTGCAAATTCATCGCATTAAATAATACAATACTGAAGATCTCTGACTTCCTATCAACTTGATAACCTTATAAGTGCAGCTAGGCAATCAAACAATTCTGCACATCTGTGTAAAAGGAGGCATGCATATGTGACGTCATTCGTGTCACGTGTCCTAAGATATGAATATTACAACTTATTAATTCCTTTTAACACTCCCACGTAATAGTCATATTAACATAACTAACAAATGTTCATGATACAAACTTAATACGTATCATTCTTCTTTGACTTCAACTACTTCCAATAGCTTTGATATTAAAGTTTTGATATTAAACTTTTGAGAGTCTTTTGGTCATTAAATCACCAAACATGACTTCTGTTTGGCAACACTTGAAAGAAATGATGTTATTTTTGACGTGTTGTCACACATTGTGATACGACACATCTACAGTGGTTGACCAAAAAAAATGTCCCCGTAATGAAATATGAGTTTTGTTTCTAAAATTCATGAATTTAAAAAAAAACTGTTCAGAAATAATCGTAATAACAACATTTCTAGTAAACGACAATACTTAAGCAGTAATTTACAAAAAACAGTGCATGTGCAGAAATGTCGACGTTCCTGCAACACTGAAATTATTCGTCATGTTTATATATTGCAACAAAAATCAACACAAACATGAAGCAATTTTTAAAACCAACGCAACGTATACATGAAAATAAAGAAGTTGAATTGTTAAGAGTGATGAACAAAACGCCGTCTACAGATATATCAGAATAAAAAAGGCGAAGGGATCGTTAAATTTGATATATGCTAAATGCTGGAGTCAGTGTTTGTGATTAGGAAGTTGCAAAGAAGTTTCTACTAAGTTACTGTGAAGTAAAATACTGAGTTCAAAGTTGAGGTTAACTTGAGATTGTAATCACACCTCCTAGTGGTAGAAAACAACAGACCACTGAGAGAAGGAATATCTTCATTGCTAAAACCTTAAAGTTAGGTACCCTATCAAAGATTTCTTTTAAATCTTATAGTTCCAGACTTTAAATGCAGCTTTTAGATAATCTTTGTAGCTTTGCAAATGTCTTTGTTGATGCTAAGGTTTATTTATGCAAAGTTTCGTCGTATTAAATAATTAAAAAACTGAAATTCTGTGATTTCCTCATCAATCTGATATTGAACATTTTTATAACTTCATCAATACAGTTAGGCAATCAAATAATTCTGGACATCACGTGATACATCAGTGAAAACACAAACTGTGCAACAGCCGTTTCTTACGT